CTTTCCATATATAGTCTCCCTGTGCAGTTCCTCAGTGCTGGTTCCTCATATCTTCCTGGCTCCTCATGTGTGCTTTGACTGATTGTCCCTTAGATCCTGACTTTCTGTAGTTTGCCTCCTGATCTCTTATTTTGGGTTCTAAAAACCTTCCACCCAACCGCGACTTTCTGTTCATGTGTGGGTTTTCTCCGGGTACTCCTGCTTTTTCCCACAGTCCAAAAACACGACTGTTATGTTAATTAGCATTTCTAAACTTGTCCTTAAGTATGAGTTTGTGTGTGCAAGGTTGTGTGTCCTTGTGTCTCTCACACATAGACTGCCAGAGATAGGCACCATCTCCACTGCAACCCTGACGGAATAAGTGGGAGAAGATGGATGGATTGAATTTTTTCTCAAACAATTGACTCTAAATGTTACAGAAATATATATTGTGATCATTTAAAAGTAGGAAAATCACTATTTGTTTTTTCGTCTTCTTTATTGCATTACTTTCCACAAATTTCAGCCAACAATTTGAAACATATTTATTCTCTTTGAGAAAGTTTTTACCTTCCTTTTACAAACAAAAATGTTAAATGGCACAGTGGTTATTTGAAAGGATAAATCTCCTGTGGAAGATATTTATTAAATAAAAGTATTTTAAAGGTAATGTTTATTTGCAACTCTAAACAAGTTTCATTAGCTTGATTCAAGTCAAAAATATTCAATGTAATTAAGATGTTTTTATGTAAGATTAAGATAAGTAAAAGTACTTATGAATAATTAGAAGTAAACTATTTCATTTTAGCTCTGACTGTATATTTTTGCTCAAATCCTGTTAAAAAGGTAAACGTCTGTCCCAGTTCTAAGACTTTTGAGGCCTCCATCAGGTTTCCATTCATAATTGTCCTGTATTTAGCCTCATCTACAAATAGTTCCCTTCAACCTCAGCCAGACTTCCTGTTCCTGTTGCAGAAATGATTCTTTAAAGACACTCTGTCCATGAAGCTCTACACAATATAAAATGTGATTTTCAGGGTGAAGACATCTCACCCTCTTATATATATTTTGCAGATTGTTTTTCTGCTTTTTAAAGCTACCTAAGTTGTTGACATTTTATGCTCTTCTGTTTTTCTTTTATTGCAAACCCAAGCATGCTTTATAAAACTTTATGGATTTGAAAATCAATAGTCTCAGGAAATCATTAAAATTCAAAATTTCTTGAAGCAAACACTGACCCATTCTTCTGAGATACTATAGGTTACAATCTGCTCTGAGGCTATAGATAGATCACAATAATAAAGACACAACTCTTGGGCTTTGACAGTGTGCCACAATGCAGATTTTTCACTCCTCATTTTCAGTTTAAATAATTCCCTTCAGCTTTGCAGTACTGACTTAAAACTGGCTTTACACTCATGGTGATTCTCTGTGTTTGTGCTTTTGTAAAACCACAGCAGTGTGCAAATGTTCTAGGTTTATGTGAAAGAATGCTATAAAATGTAGATATTTAAAGAATTGCTAGTTTATTTTTCATAAGTTTACAAAGCTATCTTTGTTTTTTAGATGTAAAATGCAAGCTTTTATCAACCATATTTTGTTAAGCATTCTGAATTCTTTAAGTATTTGTATAGTGTTCTATCTTTCTATCTAATACTTCTCTACTCTCCACCTTCCTCATAGAAACTAGAGGTATAGTTTTTGGGGTTAAATATCTTAAAGAATAAGTTGCAATTTTATCTTTTGCATTTTTGATCCTATCAGGAATGATAAGAAAAAAAAAATCTTAATGCAAAGAAGAAAGCATGCCTCTTATGAAACCGAACAGAAAAATGTACTAGTCATAGGAAATTAATGAGTGAAGGGGATTTATGAGATTGCATGGTTACCTTGTTGGCAGGAGAGTTCCTAGTCGTAATTGTGTGTTTTGGTGAGAGATAATGATGATTAACAACCAGTGGTATTAACACAGGTTGACATGAGGGTATTTTAGAAAGTGATGTGTATGGATTAGAATAAGACAGCAGGAGGGATTCGGCTGTTTCCTGTGATTCCCAGGCAGCTCAGTGGAGACTTCCTCTGCAGGCAGCAGCTGCTGGCAGCGTGACATTCTTAATTTGCAGTTGGGGTAAAACCAAACAGATTTATTATCAGAGAAGGATGCTCAGTGTTTTTTCTTTTATGTCTCCTGTATTAGACGTTGCATGTTGTTTAATTGTGCACTGAAGTAATTCTCCAGCAGCATTTATGCACAGGGGGCTCCTGTTTTGTAGGTACTGCATGTAGCCTTTGTTGAGCCTGGCTGTGCACAAATACCAAGCTGAGAGTAGCTGTTGAACTTTGGAAATGTCAGTCCTTGCTCCTTGCAGAGAGTGCTATCGCTTCGGTCCTGAGTGTCCTCCCCGCGCATCTAAAACTTTCCCTGCTCTGCCAGTGACCTCCTGAAATCTTTTGAAGGTAGTTCTCGGTTGCAGACAGGAAAAGCTTGGAGGATTCAGGGACTCAGTTCAAACATACACAACCCTTTCTTTTTTTTTTTTTAAGTCTACCTCGATGGTGGTGCCGTAAACACATTTGACCCACTGATACAGTCACAGTGTACAGTATAAAGGGGAAATATGCTGATTTCAGTAGTGTTGTGACTCTTTCTAAATAATTTGAATGAAACACAAGGTGCACTTAAATGTATTACTGTGTTTACATACAAGTGTTTAGCTACTGTGCATGTCATGTCTTTTTAATACGTCTCAGTAGTCAAGATATGACCCTACTAAATGACAATGCATCTTAAAGAGCAGGGCAGAAATACTGAGGTCTGTGCTGCAATGGTTTGCATTTAGCCTGATGGTCTACACTTATTAGTCAGATTAAAAATAGGATATACACACTATAAGTATTATTTATGAAATATTTATGAGCAGTGTTTAATTACTATTTTTTTAATATTACACATGACTGGGTTTAAAAATAATAATTTGAAAAGCTTTAGGAGCTTTTTTGCTGTTCTGGTTGCAAAACTACAAACAAAAACCAACGGCATTCAAAGCTCAGTTGACTTTACTATGAATCCTGAGTTAAAGAAGAGAAGTATATATATGCATTGACTTTTATTAACTAAATTGTCAATGTTTCTGTTTTGTCTGTTTTTTCTTATGTCTCTTCTCTATTGTAATCTGCAATGTTCTTGAACTAAACCAAATAAATAAGTTAGATGAAGATGTATGTTAACCTTTGTTCTATTTAGTTAATTATCAGGTTTGCAGGATATGAATGAAAATTAATCTGCCTACGATGCTTTCCCAAAGGACTGATATAACCCAAACCTTTTTTTACATTCTGTCATGCTTCAACCAACAAATGCCAGTTGGATTAGCAGTTTAAACAAACACAAGACATCATTATTTCAAAACAGAATGAAAGAAATAAATGTTTTTTTTATTTCATAAACTATAGTACGATGAATTGCTCTCAGAGGACGAGTAATAGTATATTTCGTTGTTCAGTCTCTGTGTAAATCCAGCGGTTCTGGAGCCTCTGGGGTTTGTTGGAGAACATTAGTGAACAAAAAGATTTATCAAGACAAAGGAACACAGCAGACAGTTTTCTGTCCTTCTTCTGGTATAGTAACCATATTGTAAGATAAAAGCCTACCAGTCAGATGAGGCCATAATTAAACTTTTGCAGTTTGTAGGAGAGAAATTGCAAGGTACATCTTGTTGAATTCACCTTGCTTACACTTGAGATTGGCTGGACAGTGACTCAAAACACAGAGCTGCAGTGTATTTACAGATACAGTGGGGTGATTTATATTAAGGTCCATTCATTACTCAAAATGGCATGGTCAAGGTCCAGATTTAATCCAAATTGAGATTCTTTTGTGAAACTTAAAAATGGTTGCTCACAGATTTTCTTAATCGGAATAGACTGAGCTTGAGCCGAGGAAAAATGGGAAAAATATTGTTTCTTGACAGTGTGCCAGCTGGTGAAATATCCCAAAGGGCTTCAAAATGTAACTACAACATAATGCATGACTGCACATAACAATTTTATTTTTCTTCTTTATGAAATGTAAAATCATGTATCATTTTTCCTTTATTATAAGAGGATGAGTTACAGTGAAGAGTTTACAGCAGCCGATGATCACTGTTTTTATATTGTTGTAGAGGGACAGCACTAAGTCCTTCCTGTCATATTACCAATCACATGGTGTAAAAGATAAACCTGTGCATGCTCTGTTTCACATGCTTGAAGTGCATAAACAAACAAGCAGAGAAGAAGTAAAAGGAGGCCTGTTAATTCCAGCTATGATCAGCTTATATGGTTGATTCATGTAAAATGGAGTTTTACAATTGATAAGTTTTTCTTCTTTTTGGGCTCATTATTTATTTTACAGATCTCTTTTTCCTTGAATAAGTAAATAATGCTAGTAGCTTTGCTGAAACTTTTTTAATTGGGACTAAAATGACAGTCGGCGTGAATGTGTGCCCTCTCTTTTTAGCTGTTCATTCACAGAGCAAAGATCCCATTGACTCCCCAGAGACAATTACTCCCTCTTCCACAGATCAACTCTCTGCAAACTGCAGTTGTTGACTCTTGACCTTCCGTCGTACCCAGCAGCAGCTCCAAATAAAATAATGTTATCGTCTGTCTTCTTTCAAATCCCTATTTTCTCCCATGGTACCAGGCTCCAGGAGGGATTTCGGGCAGCTCTTGAGTGCCTCCGTGTGGTCATTTTTCTTAACTTGTTTTTATGCTAGAAAATATACATTCTGCTGCCTGTAAAGAAAGGTTGTGACAAAGCTTTGTGACATTTGTGCAGCAATTTGTCTCTACGTGTGATAATGTTATGAAGCATGTGTCTTTGCATGCGTGGGTGTAACTAAAAAGTATGTCAAAAGTTTAATCACAATAAGCACGTGTCAGTACATCTGACTTTGATTTGTCAGGGTGTGCACAAACATGTCACCTTTAACAAGGCAACAGAACTCTTGAAAGTGACGGCCTGTCTCCTCTTTTTGCAGGAAGCGCTTTGAACCTCACATGCAGAGCATTTTTTGGCTACAGCGGAGACGCCAGCCCACTCATCTACTGGATGAAGGGGGACAAGTTCATAGAGGACCTGGATGAAGAGAGGGTCCAGGAAAGTGAGATCAAGTAAGAAACACAGGGATTTGCCTCAAGTCATTTCCTCAAGCTCAGCAGTAATGAGAAATTAACAGCAGATGTGGACAAATTTGCCATAAAGGATTTAATGATAGTTCGAGTAGTTTTTGCATGTTTTAGTCCATTAGCTTTAAATTGCACAGACTAAACCATCAAGAGATTTATTCCCTGCCTTTAAAGCTATCTTTTTTTAAGTTGTTGTTTTATGCTGTGAACACTGTACAGTGGCCTGCAACTTTTTTATAAGCTCTGCCAGGTTTCAATGGATTGTTCTGTTTTGCAGTTGTTAAAGAAAACTCTGGAAGAATGCATCCTCAGTTTTAGTGCATTTATTCAGTAGGGAGTAAAATTTACCATAAGAAATAACTGCTGTCATTTGCTAGACAGTGGGAGTGCCCATTAGAGTTGCAGTAAGAACAAATTATAGTCAAACTCTGGTTTTACTTCTACTTAATAACTTTAATCAGATCATAGGTTGGATTTTAACCTTTTCTTTCTATTGTGCTGCAGTAAACCTTTGAAAAAAGGGAGTTTTTATTCAACTTTCCAGGGGTGCTGCTTTATCTTGATAAATGCCAGTATTGTGTACATACCATACTTCTACCTGGGAAAGAAACAGGACAACTTACCATCGTAAAAAGCATATAAACCAAGGAGCATTTAGTTTTCTGAAATCATAGGTCAGTTGAGCAATTCATAGATAAATCAAGCCAGATCCAGGGAGCCAAAGATGCACAACATACAGTATTATGTAACATGCAAAATTGTATCCCTTCTTTATCGTTTGAAAATGTTTTGTAAACCACTGTTTCTTAACAAAACATTTTTTTTTTGCATGTTTTTTCCTTCTTTTTGACATTTATTCTTTTTTAAATAGAAGGCTCTGATATTAAAATTTGCCAAGGTGCCACATAACCCAGGAATTCTTCATTTTACATCATTTTAAAGGCAGTGTGACAAACTGAAAAGTGTGGTCGACATATGTGGCTAAAGTGGTGCATAAAAAGAGAGAGCCAAAATGTTGGGCAAAAAATGGCAATAGCCAATAGTTGGAGGGATCTGCAACACCTGTAAACGACACTAATACGGATGATTCTCTATTAGCACAGATTAGACTGCTATATTTTTAAATAAAGATACTCTTGCTTTAAATGTCTGAAAGGCCTGGAGGGAAATCCTATTCTCAATTGTTGAGGAGAGGATTATGTGAATAAATAAAATGTATTAATTTAAAAATGTCAATTTAGTTTAAACAAGGACTTAAGGTTATACTATTTTATAAAGATATTCATGAGATTTATTTTTTAATTCCAAGGAGGCACAGGCCAATATGTATAATTGTTTGATATTATGGCTCATTGCATTTATTTGAAATAAAAAGAAGATAATTATCTCTGTTGCAGCCCAAGAAATATGAATTTTCTATTATTACAGGTACAGTAGAGAATTATAATATTTTCTATAACATCCCCGACTGGGTAGCCTGTGAGTTGTTAATGGCTTTTTGCAGGGAGTATTTTATTCTTCCCAGTTTGGTTTTCATAAAGCAATGCAAGTCAAGTTAGCAGCTGCTGGCTGGTTTAGTTCTCACTCTATTTGCACTGATAGCCAACTTGCAGCTGGTTATTTTAAAGACACTGGACTAAATTTTCAGCTGTAGCCATAAAGCAGTAACCTTATATATGATTACATGATTGTTGATTGGTAATTTTCAGTTAATTTCTGTGTCACTCTTTTTCATTCTTTTGTGGTTGGAAATATATCAAACAACAGAATTTTCATTTTCTTAATCGAGAGAGAAAAAATTATTGTCTTCGTCAAGCTGACTGGCAGTGTGTGCAAAAAACAAAAAAATGTGAGGGAGGGAGAGTGCAGTAATATATCATGGTTTATACAGTTAGGAATTATATTGCATTAGAAAGAAACCACCATTTATCGATTTTCTTATAGCTGATTGTACCAGTATGGTTTTTGCTTATCATGTTAAGTTGAATGACTTCAAGAAAGGTTTTCAAATTTGTTTAGAGTCTGAGCCAACAGAGGTATAAAAAACTCTTTGCCCTTGATTAAATAATCATGTTGTTTTTAAATGTTAGCAGAAAAGAAAATTATAAAATTGGACAAGACAATAATCTCTATATGCAGAGGTGTGTTTATGGAAAACAATGGTTGAAGTTGGGCTTTGACGCTCAGGTTCATTGTGTAGAATATTATATCTCCAATCGATTCTACTATTTAAAGAGTAAGAATAGTAGTAAAAGCAATATTTGCTGGATCATTAGCCAGGTTATCTGTTGATGTAAGACTACAGTCAGCTGCTTGACCAGGATGTTCTACTATATGCAGCTTACCAACAGTAGTTCAATCTGAAAAACTCACACGAAGAGAAAAGACAATTAGGAGAAATTTATTGATGCAATTACTTTGTCTTTGGAGCTCAGACCTCGGCAGGAAACATAGCGCTTAATTTGATAGATATGCATGAACAGGAGCAAAGAATAGGGGTGTTTCCACCCAGGCCTTAAACTGGTGTCGGAGTGGAGATAGATGAAGTTGGTCAGTCTGTAGACTGCTGGTTAGTGAGACGGTATGCTGAGCTTTATGGGGAGATCCAGTAGACTGCGTGAGCTGATAATAGAGCTTCACTCAGGGACCTGGAAGATGGAAGTTCAGTTTGATAACACAGATTGAGAGAACCTGTCAATGATGAGCAAGCATGGAGCGACAGTGGAGAGGAAATTTCTGGCAGAACCAGGCTCAAAATGGCGGTCTTCTGCCGGACTGGTTAAAATGAGACGCGGAATTCAGTAAGAGTACAGGAGGAATGACACTGATGAAGCTTTAGCTACGATGGTGGAGGAGGGGCTGGAGGTGGGTTGAAACGGTGTCATCTGAATGAAGTCACAGCGCATCCACCGCCTGCACACAGGAGCAGACAGGTGCGTATCAGAGGCCTTTTAAGATGAACTTTGGAAGCCGATTGGCTTTCGTGGAGGTGTGGTTCAAAGCTGATTAGCTTAGTCGCAGGTGGATGTAGGAAAGCAATGAGTTTCTTCAGTTGAACAGGCTCCGAGTGTGTGTCAGAAGAGTGTGTTTAAAGTCAGGAAATTAGTTTTTTAAAGTGAAAGACAATTTTTTTTGCCTTATTTAAGCATTGTGCTGCGGTGCAAATGATAGGGTACATGCAGCACTGCTTTACTTTATGCCCTAGACGGACAGATGAAACTGTTTAAATTTTAAAAGGATTTTAAACCGCAAAAAATGGTTAATTATTAAACAAAGCTTCTTTTTTTGTTTTGCATATAAAATCCATTTTTGATTTACAAAATAGAAAACATGTATGTGCCCTTCTGTGTATAGTGTAGAACATATATGTCCTTACATATATTTTCATTAACTCTATTCCTCACTGACAAGCAGAACAAGCAATATGTTGCATCTTTAAAGATGCCTCGAAACATTCTTTCCTTCCAAGCCATTTAAAACAAGAGTGTTTTATTTGAGAAATTAGTGGTCCTAATTCATAATTCCTATTAGGGTTGTTTGCTAGGGATACAGCTCCCTCCAGTTATTGGCTATGGCCATTTTTCCCCAAAATTTTGGATCTCCTTCTCTGCACCACTTATAGCCACATCATGCAGATGTTCCATAAGAACTTGAGGAGATGGAAAATGAGGTACAGGAGGTGAAGAGAGATGCAGAATTCAGAGTAAAAGAATAGGCAGATAGATTGAAAAAATATGTTTTAAGTCGCTGCAGAGCAAAGTTAACGAAGATGCATCTGTGATGGCGAGTTTTTTCATGCGCTGATGCATGCATGCAGGAGAAACAAATTGCAGTTTAAACAAGCCCTTTGCTCTCCTCTTCCTCTATTACTCCCTGACAACAACATTCCCCCTACTCAAAGGCTGAGCGCTTCTCTGCTCAATAATTCATATGCGGACTTCATGCAGCAGATCAATAATATATTCGATCATCCGTTCTCTGTTGATGATGCTGATACTCTGGGCTTTCTCAGATCCTGCTTTGATTTTATTTCCATAAGCATAGCTAGAGAGAAAGTCAGGAGAGCCACAGGGGAGACAAGAAAGAAGAAGATAAACCTGAACTAATCTGTACAGTATGAGGTCAAGTTTTCTGCCTTTAATATGATAACATGTATCTTCCTGAAGGGTTATCTTCTCATCTTGGGTTTGGCACCCTGAGTTTTACTGCTGTCTTGTCAGCAGTAGAATCTAAGCGCAGAGAGATGCAGTCAAACCTTGAGTTGCTTCGTGTTTCTACAGGCATTTATTTACCCAACTCAGAGACTATTGATTTTGGAGATTGGAGTTCATTTCTGTAGTAACCTGAGCCCATAAATTCTCATTTGTTCCACCGGGGACAAGACTGCTTCTGTTATCACTGCACGGCTGGCTGGACATTAGCATAGCATGCAAAGATTAATAAATTAACAAAACAAATCTGCCTCAGCATAATGAAGTAAGTGTTCGATAAATTATTGAGTACGTTGGCTTAGTGTTTTGCAGGTGTGTACTGAGGTGAGTAGGCTATATGGAGCAGTGAGTAAAGTTGAAATTCATCACTTAATGAGCAGGCATTCTAGTATTGTTTGTAATTACAGAAAAACCAAATACTTTCGGATAAAAAGGTTTGTTATACAATCCTTCTGTTAAAGCAACAGTAACATCCTTAACCCAAACAAAGGACATGTTTTTTTTGTCTCTGAAGTTAAGATGGGGTGTTACGACTTTAGCCAGATTCCTTCTTTTTTGCAGCCCTCCTCTGCTCACAAAACATTGATTATAAAGAAAAGAGATCACATGTAAGAGCCCTCAAATGGACGTTCTCTGTCAAGTGCATAAGCTTCAGAAAGAGGAAGAGGAGATCCATCGCTCATTGATAGAATAATTGTTATTTGCCAAATAAAAAAAATCTGCTGAAATCTGCACCTCAGTGGGATTCCTCTTGGGCCTAACCTTTTATATCCCATCCGGTCTGGAATCTTTAAAATCCCCCAAGTCTGCCTGGAGAGTGTTACTATACAAAGAAATAACAATTTTTTTTCAATAATAAATAGATATAAATATTAGCATCCCTATTAAAGGTCTTAGACCTTATGTGGTTGATTTGAAGATATTTTAATATCCTGAAACATAATGAATCTAATGTTCCAAGGAATCTTCAAAATATGTGTGTTTACTGAACTACTGGTTAAAATATTTTGAAGAGAAAAATGTAATTCTGTCTTAAACTTTATTTTGGAGAACTCAACTTTTGTTTTTCTTTTTGTTTTCCCCCCTTATCTGCATGTGACAGAATTAGTCTAATTGGATCAAATTCATCTCTGCTTTTTAGCTTTGGAATGTACTTCTTTATGCTTACTATCTTACTATCTGTGCAAGCTTTTAATACATTTTGTTCATTTTTATTAAGCTAAGTACGACTTTTTTCATGTATTTGACCAGCAAATATCGTATCCTACTTCATCTCCCCTCCTATACCTGGGACCTCAGTGACCTTAACTCAGAAGAGTCAATTTTGCCAAACCAATTATATGCAGTCACAAAAAGTGTTTATCTCTTCACAATAAATGTAACACATCACCCTATTTTCCACTCCCTGAAACTTCAAAATCTCCATTTTAGGCCCAGGTGGTCATTTTCTATCAGTCTAAGGACAGAAAGTTGCCTTTGTAGGCTCATGCTGTGATTATGTGAAATGACAGGCTTCAAAGTTGGCAGCATTCCCTGGAGAGACATGAATTATTCTCATGCCTTCATCTCAACCCCCCATCCCATACCCCACAGAACAACAACTCAGGATCAACAACACTGCCTGAAACCCTCCTCTTACATAGCATGGTACACTTTCAATTACCATTGACAAAATCTCTCCAACAAGCCATCCTTATGTGCAGTTTATTGGCTGGAAGGTGGGAGCTGTTAAACCTCTACCACCTAAGCACACACACAACCCATGCTTCCCCAATGCAACCCAGCAGGCACACAATCCCTGATCCCACTCCTCCTTCTCATCATGGCGAATGATACACACATAACCACACTAACTGCAGTGATGCATTTTCTCATTTGTTTCCTCTGAAGCATCATTTGTGCTGAGGGTTTGGTAAAAGTGGGGTAAGTAGTTTGTATAAGGTATAAGAGAGCGTTGTCTCCCATTTCTGTACTCCATCAGACTCAAGCAGCCCAGCGGGAGGTGGGGGGGCTCATTTACTTTTTGGAATATTACTATCTCTCCTTCTTATCGTTACCATGGCAGCCGCTATAAAAAGAATATCTTCTCATCACCATTATTTGCCCAACCCCCCCCCAACACACACACACACACCTACACACAATCTCAGGAAGATCCCTTATTGATTTTTGTTGCTCACATGTTTTGAGTACAGAGAAAAGAAATTAACATTCCATGAATAGCAAAAGCAAAACAGAAAGGGGCCCTCCAATGGATCTAGATTGCAATTTGGACTGATCTATCAATTACTTCCTGTTTTTTTTAGGTCACAGGGGTGACAGGTCTAGAGGGGGATGGTAAGATATCCAGCTCCAAAGCAAAATTCTCCTGTTTATTAGTTTATAGTTCCTTTAGCAGATCCTTTGTCTTCCTTGCGGTCCCCACATTTCAGGACTTTTCCAGAAAAGCCTCTAATAAAGGGATGGAGAACCCATCCTAATAAGATCCTGAAAACATCTGTATTTCTCATGATCTCCCAATTAGGATTTTTGGTTCTGGGGTCCGTTTCAAGAATTGGGTTTAATAAACTCAGATTCAAATTCCCAACTCTAAATTGATCTAGCCTAAGGCCGGTAACTCTGAGTTTTCAGTTTCAGATTGCTATGAGTTAGTTCAGACAACGCTAAGTAGGTCAACTCAGAGTTAAACAGGTGCTTAACAAGATTGAAAAGCCGTTATCAGTGGAGCCCCAATACAATGAGTTACCATGACAACAGGCAACAGGAAGTTCGTATTTTGTGTCACTGGAACTGGGGTTTCTAATGAAGAAAAAGTTAAGAAAGTGTTTAAAAGAACGTACAAAAATAGCGCTACAGCTGCAAAGCAGAGGAAGATGGTGGAGAAGAAGATTGTTGCTCGAGTTAATTCCCAAGTTTATATGAAGTGTACTGTGGTAGGCTATTTTTACATTTGTTAAAAGCACTCTCCTCTCTGTTACTCCATTTGTAGATCACTAAAAAAAGATTCTTCCAGATCAAAATCGCACACCTAGACTGAACTGTAATAATATATTTTCTAAATTACATTTTCGCAGCAGAAACTTAATTTCAGAAAGTAAAAAAAAAATAATAATAACCTTGCAAGAATTAAGTTTTACCTAGAAATGTTTTGAAATTTATCAGCTTGATGGAATATATATTTATGATATATGAAATACATTTCTTCATAGTCAAAATAATACAAATGCTTACCAGTAACAATAGGAATATGAAGATCTTTAATTTATTTGTAGACATCCAGAATGTTTACTTTAGAGGTGACTGAAATCATTTTGTTGGAAATGGTCATTATGACAAGGAAAAGTTTTTTTTTTTCCAGATATCAGGAGTTCAGTAAAACTATTAAATTTTAAAAGGCTTGCCATAGTCTGTTATGATCATGATAACATTACGGGTTCATTGCATTTTATGGCGCTGTGCTACCCACTGCTTTAATCAGCCATCCCTTTAATGATGTTCCCAAATTATTTCTACACTAACAATGTCCCTCACGATCCGATATTAAATGAATTACAGTCTGGTATTGACAATACTAATACAATACCTTTTTACAATACCCCTAATGTGTTTAGTAAGTGTATAAACTATTGTAACTGCTCTTTAACAGTGGTTTTCACACACTCTCCTCATGACCCAGTGTCCTGCATGTTTTAGTGTTACCTCCACAAACCTGACCTAATAAACAGGTGATTAACAGCCCTTGGTGGATGCTGGGGAGGAATTCAATACTCTGCTGGAGCAGTAACGCATCTAAAACAGAAAAGTTAGATCCCATGTTCGAAAACCAGTAATGTATATTATTGGGTGGCTCTAATTTAATACTTGTCAATTCCTTAGAAATATTTAGTTAAATAAATAGATGCCATCATTATTGCAATAAATAGTCCATATCTATGTTTTACCAATTAAACAGTAATACCTAATTGGACTTATTGTAATTAGCAAAACATATATTTCCTAAACTATTTCTTAACCATCTAATCTATTTTTTTTTTTAAGTTCACAAAACCTACTTTGTTACAGCTGCTATGTATGATTACTATAGTCAACTTTAAATTGTTCATTCTTTAGGAAATCGTACTTAAACCGAGCTTTTCTGCTTGTTTAAAAAGCTGAAATAATGCAGGGTTATTTGATGGAAGCATGTGTTTCTTATTATTTTAGAACCAATTTTAGAAACGTGAGAGAGCCAAACAACAACAGCTTAGTGCCATTTAAAGCTCTAAATATTCTTGCACTGTAGATAACAACAGCTCTTTTTGCTAGACCAAGTACCTCTGTCCATCTTCCGTTTTGGGAAAGTTGAGGTGCCTTCAGTGTTAAGGAAAGTTTAGCCTTTCAAGGCTTTGTTCTCTGTATTCTGTGTGACTCATGGGTAGCTGCATTGATTGATTCACTGCTGGATCTCAGGGCCAAATTTTCCCTTTGAAATGTATAGAAAATGTTGCAAGCAGTCTGTTCTGCACCTATCCTGTTCTGGACAGTAGGGTGCAGGTCAACTTAATGAAAAGCATTGAAGAATGTTGTCCCTCAGTCTGCAGGGACAGCCATTCTGGAGCTCTCCCAGATGCAGCCCTTTCCAGGTCTACATGAGAGAGGATGAGAGGGCATGTTCTCAGGGCGTTATAGGAAGCACGAGAAAACGTTTCATGATGTCCTTCAAAGCTGAAGCTCATTCTTTGGCATCGTCTTAAAGAGGGAGCCTTACTTTGAAGGGCAGAGCCAACCTGCATTATGTTCTCCCAGTTCTTACATTTTGTATCAAGGCTTATGGCACTGCAACTGACAAGAACTAAGGACAATGCAGTGTACTTCCTGCAAAAAAGTTCTTCATACTAACAGCTTAATGTTCATTACCCTATGTAGGGAGCAAAGATAATTTGAGAATTTTGTTGTTTTTTATTTGCTAAGATGTTTCTTTAGCAGGCCAGACCAGAGCAAGACTCACTATACTTCGGACGATGTCCTCACATCTGCTTTATCAAAGCCGCAGACAGATATCAACTCCTGACTTGGATTAGAAAATCAAACTTATTCTAGCTAAAAATCTAGACTTTAGACTTACTGTCATACTGGTCAGTTCTTGCTTTAAGGCTCCAGTGCATGCTGAACGTCATAGCTTGATGATCCAGACAAAATTAAATTACCTGGAAAAAGCTAGGAGGGAACCATAGAATCTTGAACCAGGCTGGTCTTCAACTACGGTAATATATCTTTAGATACTGCCCATGAAAACCACAGACAGGCTAAGAAAATACAGTACAGGGCAGATCTGGAGAAGTCTATCCTGGTGAACATAGCCAGGAATAAGTTCAACTTCATGTTAACAATGCAGACAGATTTTTGTTGGGCAGGATGTAAACTTCCTGGATCTTCCATTAAAATCCAGGGTGGCTGCATCCCAATTTTATTGCAGAAGAGTAAACTTCAAACTAAAAATCCATCAATCAAAACTATATACAGATGGGTAACTGTACTGTTTAGTAATTGTTATCAACAAAGGAGATATTCTTAAATTGTTGTGTTTCTTTGTTTGCAGGCTTGTCAGGGAGCATCTTGGAGAGCAGGAAGTGGCAATTTCCTTGACCATTGACTCTTTAGAGGAGGAGGATTTAGGAAATTATTCCTGTATTGTGGAAAATAGAGACGGGCGTCGCCAAGCAACCATCCATCTCTTCAGGCGGGGTAAGAAAAACTGGGTATTTCCCATTTCAAATTTAAAAACTAACATCTTTTTACATATTTTTCATAGAATTCAGTTTTCCTTGTCAGATATTTTGCTCGCTTTAAGCTTAGTCATAAATAAAATAATCAAAGCAGGCTGCAACATTTCATCAGATACTTTGTTCTCTTTTTTCTTTTTCATTAGTTTGTTTATATTTACCCACACTTTGTGATTGCATTTGGTACTGTCTTATCTTCAGTGTTTGCACCAGCAGCTTTGTAGCTATTTTGGCTCTCTTGCATGACTTCTCTGAAGCTCTTTTCATGCTCTGGCTGTCACCCCACAAGAGAGGTAATTTGATGGCTGTTTAAACAGCAAATTGGTCTTCAGCTTTTCCCAACTGGCCAATACATCCAGCATACAATTACATTTTAAGTCTTTATATGTCTGTTTCCCCGCTTTAATCTCTTTCTCTGTGATCATCCTTTGTAGACAGCCCAGTTCCGTTTGAGTGGTCTTTTCGGACTGCAGACGGCTTCATTTAACTCTTTTTTTGTCAAAGGAGAGAGAAGCTAAGTCAAGCTCTCTTTGACTTTCTCATCCAGATCTTGATGTGTATTTTATGTTTCCCACAAAAAAGAACACATCACTCGCAAGCCCTGCGGCAGGTCTAACGTCGCTGCAGGCTGCCTTTCCTTGGATCTACAAAAAAAGGGAGAATATTTGACAGAGTATTGGTCAGTGGGCCTTAAATAGTTCCATAAAATAAGATAATAGGAGGTAATAATCAGCTAGGAGCATTAAAGTTTTTTGAAAAGCCAATAAACCTTTTTTTTTCCCCAACATCAAGCTCTTATTTTCTTACAGGATTTACTTTTTAGGCAGAGTGGCAGGTAACTGGTAGTTCTTTACATGAAGCCATTTTTAACACATTGATGCTCCCTCCCACCTATTGTCACCCCTGCAAAAGATTTGGAAATGCTTTTATTCAAAAAAAAGCATGAAAAAATTGGATTATCTAACTTTTTAAATTACTTAAACCTATTAAATAGAAAAAATAACATCCTATCAGTTTTTGTTTTGTTTTGTTTGCAAATCTGTGGTGTTCCCCTTGTGGTAATGATTCCTACTCGTTAAGTCTACCTTAGAATATTGTTTTTATTTACACTTGATTTTCTAAATTAAATCAGTTTCAAGGATTCCATTATTGGTAGTATTTAAGTTAGACACATTTTCCTTTGTCACTCTTCTATGGAAAAACAAAAGAGAACATGCATTTCAAATAAAGGAAATATGTCTTCGTCTTCATAAGTCAGGATAAGGCTAAAAGTAAACTGCTCTCTACTCAATATCTATTGTATATTCAGAGCAATTATTTAGAACCATTCCAGTATTGACAAACAAGTCTGATTAAAAACCTGAATTTGTTTTGCCCCACACAAAGTTAGAAGGACAGCAAGCAAAAGAAATCTTCAGAGCTGATTATTAATGTTTACATGCACAAAATTTCACAACTGAATTGAAATGTGTTCATAATCATCAAGCAAAAAAAAGAATTAGCTTGTACTGTTTATATGGACATGTCACTTGAATGAATGGCCGATTAGGCTAAAAATGTGTTGTAAATATGCCAGTAGAAATATTCTGTCTTGACTGTATCGACTCAAACCAGAAGTATAACAAACTGATGTGGGATGCACATTACTCTTTACATTACTAGACATACAGCAACAGCTTCATCGGGTACAAAACATACCTTCCTTTAATCCTGTATCATTCCAAGAAATGCATCCCACAAGGTACCTGTGGGTTGAACAAATGATTAGTGGTTATTTAAATTCCATTAATTTCAGTTTAATTATATGCCGAGATTTTTATATGTTTCAAAACACACCTAGTTATCTCAAGGCATTTTACATTGACAGTTCAAACAGATCATATAATCAGATGAAATAGGTCTAGCAACAATGATTTTGTGGGATAAAAAACAATTAGCTTGTATGGTATTTTCCATATGAATTAGATCAATATTTATTTTTTGTTTTCCATATTTAAGAGTGTTTTTTGCTACAGCAATAGACTAATAATTCATTTTAATATCTTTTTTTACTAGAGATACCAATACATTTGGAGGGGTGTGTTGTTTGATACATAGTACAATTAATAGCACTTCTTCAATGACTTTCAAGACTGACCCCAGCAGTCTATGGGTGAGAGGCGGGGTACACCCTGGAGAGGTCACCAGTCCAGAAAAGCAATCATTTATGCCCACACTCACACCTAAGGAGAATTTAGAGAAGCCAATTAACCCAACAGTCACCTTTTTGGACTGTGGGAGGAAGCCGGAGTACCCAGAGAGAGACCATACATGCACAGGGAAAACATGCAAACTCCATGCAGAAAGACCCCAGGCCTGTAACCGAAGCCTACAAGGCAGAAGTGCTACCCACTGCTGCCTTATACAGCCATATACAGAATATATAGAGCTCATTAAAAAAATAATAAATTTCTGAAGACTAATTAGTCATAAAAATGTGAAATTCTCTTGTTAAAAATAAATTTTTGCTTTTGATTACATTAAACAAAAAAGGGAAAGGTTATGTAAACAATATAGGAAAGAAAACATATTTCTGCTTTATATTGTTTCTTTGGCGGCATGAGAATACGTGTATCTCTGCTCTGTCTGATAAAATAGAGATAGGATTGCAGCTGCCATGGCAGCCATGCAGTGTTAAAGCCCACAGTGTGACAAAGATAAAAGTTGAACGTGTTCTAGCTGAGCCAACCAGGTAAATGCTGCTTTAATACACATCATAACTCATCCTCAAGCCAGGTCTCAGGGGAGACATGGAGACGATAATGGAGAAGAGAAATGGACTGAAAAGGGAAGGAAAAAGGGGCGCAAACACAGATGGAGAAGCAAGTGACAGCAAGATGAGTAATCTAAAACCTGTTGTTTTGAAAATGCCGCCATCCATGTCCAGAATTGTTACAGCCCCACTATGGATGACGGTGAGGGTGCAGAGCTGTGTCATTGCTACACCATGAAAAAGAAATGAAGCCCATTTCTCATTAGATTTTTGTGCCCCTCATGTCTCCCTGTGCAATGTGTTCTCTCATTTTTCTCAAACTCATTATAGGCCTTATGTCTCTGAAGACTGATTCTGCTTTGTTCTCAAGCTTGGAGACTTCTGTAGGTTGTCCAGCTTTTTGGCAAAAGTTAAATTCCCTTTTAAATGCAAATTCTCTTACTTTGAATGTTGTTAAACAAAAATGGATTGATCCTGGTTCCATTTTAATGCAGAAACAATACTCTTAACTACCAAATCTGTAAAAGGAGACAAAGCTGTGATTGTGTCAGCAGTTTTTCTCATATTTTCTGTCTGTGTTTCTTGTCCTGAGCAGAGCTCATGTACACGGTGGAGCTGGCAGGAGGTCTGGGAGCGATTCTGCTGCTTCTCATCTTCCTCATCTCCCTCTACAAATGCTACAAGATTGAGCTGATGCTTTTTTATAGGAGGCACTTTGGCAGCGAAGATGTAGATGGAGGTAAGGTTAACCCACTGTATCTAAAACACACTGGGTATATATATAAATATATTTATATATATGAAATAACAAATACAATTTTACTGAACAGGAACTGACTCCCCGGTAGATTTAAATCTGTTCTCTACTTTTTCCTAAGTGGCCAGGGACCTCATCTACCCTGGCTCTGTTGGGAAAAGAAGAGGAAGGATTTTCAATTTGTTGCCCATTTAAAAATAGATCACTCTCAATATGTCAGGGAAGGAAGCTTATTCAGCTCTGAGAAAAGCCAGGTAGTAACAGAGGGGGGTTGGACAAATAGGAGCCAAACAGGTCTGAAATTGTGAAATGGATGTTTTATTGCAAAACATAGTTAACTTTCTCTTCAGTCAAATAGCTCTCTGTTTATGTCCCAGCATATCTCTGTGTCCTTAAAAATTCTGAAAACAAGGAACTCACAGCTTTTGGGTTTTTTTTTTCCCCCTTCCACATGCATGAATTATCTATTACAGGCAGTTTTGTTGACTCAAACTTCTACATGATTAAGTCACACTGTCAGGGGCCGCTGATACAAGCGTTTTTGATTTCTCCAGCTTTGCTTGGTGGTTAATTTGAGCCGTCAGTTATTAATTTGAAAGCACTGTTTGATGTTCGGATCCAATTGAGTGCGGGTCTGGCCCTTTCTAGGGAGTCACAAAGCCTCCTATGCTTCTCAAAAGAGTTTTTGATAAAGCCCTTCTTCCCTTTTTGGCTGTCCCACATTCAAGTTATACAGAGAATAATGACTAGCAGTCACTGAACATGTCATCGCCACTGTGCTTCTTTTATTCTATTTTCTGCCTTTTCAGTTCTTCTCACTGTCTTCTGAGGAATCATTGTGAGGTGTGTAGCAGTGCAAGGCTTGGATCTTGATTTGGGTGTGTGTATATATGTAGCCAGATTTTTGTTGTTGTTTTTTTCTTCATGGCCTAATGGATGTGACGCCACTGGGAATCAGTGTGTGTACTCAGTTGTTTACGGCGAGCCCTTCTGTTCCAAATAAAACTGCTGAGCAGAAAATAGTAAGGAGTTATTTTGGAGAAGTATTGCTCTAGTTAAAAATTGGCCTATTCCTGTGAAGGAAGTAGTGCAGACCGATTTGGGATCAGAGACTGCAGCCCAACTTTTATCAGATGAACACTGCAGAGCTTAAGTCAGTGACTTTGCAGGAATCCTTTCTTGTTACCTAATATTGCCAACAACAAACAATTCCATATTTTGAGATGTAAAAAAGGAATTAATCCCTCATATTGGGTAATCATGCTGCAGCAGTGGAAAGAAAAGACAAACTTTTTAACGGGAACCAACATCCTGCAGATTTTTTTCCATTGACTTGTTTTTGGAGTTGTATCGATTGTGGTGTTTAATTCCATGTTTTAGTTTATGAAACCTTTGCTGTTCTTCTTTGAAAAGGTTCCTTGTGAAAAGAACTCAGAGAGATATTTCTGGTTTAGAAAAAATTGACTTTTTTCCTTGAGCCTGATTTTGTGTCTTAAAGGAGGTGCAAACGTGTTTGTGTGTGCAGAGCAAATCTTCAAAGAAGGTACAACTGATATGCATCTGCAGTTTAGCAGCCAGCGTGCGCAAACCATGTTTGCCACCCCTGCTGTCATTGATATGCAAATCAAATTCCTGGGTGGAGGATATATGTAATTGTAGAGATCAACCGTGTGAAAAGCAATTTAAAAGAAGGATGTCAATAGATTTACAATAGTTGAAAAGTTGAGTAAAGTTTTTTATATATACATATATATAAATGAAAGTCCTTACTAGTGAAAGAGTGACTAAAATGATCAGTTAGCTGATGGCAATATATAGTTAAACCACAAATTTGTTAATTCCTTTTGGCAGATTTAGGTTTAAAGTAGCTTTAATTTTACCAATGCATTCCTTCTGACTGGCAGCAATATTAATCTTTCAGAGATTTAACTTAAACCAGAGGCTCAGATTGAATCTGAATGAGAAACCCTTGGAGAGATATAAAAAAAAATTATATATCACAGTGATCATGATAAGGCCTTCTTGGAAATGTTTTTACACATTTTTTGGAGGTGGTAGTATTTCTGTTTCTTTTGATCTACTATGACATCATGAGTCATTGTAAGAACTGGAAACAGGTGAAGGAGAGGCTCTAGAGATGGAGGTGTGCACTGAAGTGAGGCAGAATTAAAGTAAGGATGAAAGATTAAAATATTCAGGTTATGAAAGATGAAATAAGGCTGCAAGATGTAAGGATTAAGTGCCTGGTTTCAACCATCATGAGCAACAGACACAGCAGAGGCTATAAAGAGATGTGTGTGTTGGCTGGTTATGATGGAACAATATCTGCAAGGCAAGAATTAAAGTAAACATTTCCTTGTAGTCAGATCAACTACAATGTGTAATTCAGAGAGTGGCACTAATGAAGACGAGGGAAGAGGAGCTAGAGGATATAAAGATGACTGACATGAGACTGAAGTGCAAGATAAAGATGAGAGGCTAAGATGAGTCGCTGCGGTATCCTCCAAAGGTTTCTTCCCTGTGAGATTCCCCATTGAGAGTTTGGATGTAATTTGAAAGCTAACACCTAACCACCAGGAGATAAGTATTTCTATATGTAAGATTAAGATTATTATTTTAAGCTGTATGCAAGAAAATGCATTCCAGAAATAACCTTCATATTCTTATCAGATGGGACATATATATGAGCCTCTCAGAGAAGGACCTGCTCCTATTTCATCCCTGGCATAAATTGATTTGTTTTCATTGCTGTTATACAGAGAGAGAAATAGAAAAAATAAGATATGAATTGTGATTCTTTCAAGATGTTATTATGTTGCCCAGTCAACATTGCAGTTTCGGCCCATGTTAACGTAAGAGTCCACAGAAATTTGCCAAGCTTGCAAATGAAATGCCTTAAAAAATTTTTAAACATGTTTAGGTTTCACTCTTACAGTAAATGTTTGTGCATGTAAGCACCTTTACTCATCATTTTTAAGAAATCGCTGCCTTTTCCCTATATTTTTCAGAAAACAAAGATTATGATGCATACCTTTCATACACCAAAGTGGACCCTGATCAGTGGAGTCAGGAAACCAGAGAGGAGGAGCGCTTCGCCCTGGAAATCCTCCCCGATGTGCTGGAAAAACATTACGGTTACAAACTCTTCATCCCGGATCGAGACCTCATTCCAACAGGCAGTAAGTGCTCTGAATGTGTGTGCTCACATGCAGACAGCCCAGGAAACACGTGCAAAAGAGTATACAGAACATTTGCTTTCTCTGCATATAGAATTCTGTTGCAGTGTTTATTGTATTGCATTGCCCTTTGTCTTTGATTAACACGTTGTCTACATTGTTTCCACTGTTTTCGTCTTATGTTTTGTACTGTTAAACAGATTTAGGCTTAAGGCTGTCAGAAAGTTCACCGTATATATTGCTACCAATCAACTTACTGTGTCATAAAGTAATGGACTCCATCAATACCAATGACGGTGTGCAGTCATGTGACAACAAGTCTTTAGCATTATTCTATAATTATTGAATTCCTGTACGTTTTATTGAGGGATCTCTTTGGACCCTGCAGTTTACAGTATTGTGGGCTTAGTTTATTGTGAAAGCTCTGTGCCCAAGCGTTATGGTAAAACCATGGATATCCCAAACATAGCTGGTCTGTAATAATCACACGCTCCTTTCCTCTTTGTAATTTGAAGATGTTATTGAATATTCATCAACATGGGCAGATTTTTTTTCCCTAATTAAATACATAATACATTATTTGTAGCAAAACGAATCCAGGGATCCGTTTCATGAAGCAGGTTTAACAAAATCAGATGCAAATCCACAACTCTAATTGATCTAGCCTAAAGTCGGGAACTCTGAGTGTTCTGCTATCAATTATTTCAATCAATTTTAACTAGGTCCACTCAGAGTTAAGCGCATGTGCAACAAGTTCGAAAAGCCATTTTCAGTGGAGCATTGATTCAATGAGTCACCATGACAACAGGCAACAGGAAGTGCCTATTTCACCCCACTGGAACTAGAGATTTTATTGGAGAAATGCAAAAAAATTAAATAAAAAAGAAGAATGTGTTTAAAACAGAGAAACAGCGCTACAGCTATAAAGGAAAGGAAGATGGTGAAGGAGAAGATTGTTGCTCGAGTTAATGCGTAGGTTTATATGAACTGGGCTATGGCAGGCCATTTATACATTTATTAAAAGCACTCCTCTCTGTTGTTCCATTTCTAAATCACTAGAATAAGATTCTTCCTGATCAAAATCACACTCATAGACCTAACTGTAATAATATATTTTCTAAATTACTTTTTTGTCGCAGAAACTGAATTTTAGAAAGTAAAAAAACAAAACAAAATTATACTACTAAGAATTAAGTTTTATATATCTAGAAATGTTTACACATTTTAAGTGGCCGTTCAGCTTTACTGAAAATGTATTAATGATATCTGAAAAACATTTTTTTCATAGTCGAAATAATACAAATGCTGACCAGTAATATTAGGAATATGGAGATTCATTTATAGACATCCAGAATGTTTATTCTAGATTTGGAGAATGTCATTGTGTAAAAAAAGAATTTTTAAATATCAGCAACCATTCAGTAAAACTAGTACTTATCAAAGGACTTGCCTAAGCTGTTGTTGGAAATATTAAGGGATTATATCTTGAATGGTAGTAGATTAATGCATCTATTTAGGGGAAATCTTCTGGCAGCAAGTGAAGATGAAGTCCAAAATTGTTGTTCTAATATAAAGATTCTGTTCCTTATGTTCTTCTTTTACACAGTAAAGTGTCTTTTGCAGCCGCATCCCATTTATTGGCATGTTATCATCCCAATGAATGGGATTTGTGAACCGGAAAAGTCAGTGTCTCCCTTTTTCAGGTTCAGAAAACAGGTTTAGAAAAGTTTTTGGTAACCCTGCTTCGTGAAGCGGACCTAAACTCTGTTAGGTCTGTAGACCTGCACTCTTAACTTTGGTAAGTTAACCAAATGTTCCTTTATTGTCATTTTTTAAGTAAATCTTCACCTCTACAGATTACCTCCGACTACAGAAACAGTCAGATTTCCCAAAGAACATAAATTAAACACAAACCTATTTAAAGTACTCAAGTATTTTGTGCTTCCTGGCTTATCCTACCCTGAAGAGGATAAGTAATCTAATACTTTAATAAGATAATCAGGGTTTTTTTAAGATGAATATTTCAAATTTCCAAAATATTTAGTTGAAAAGTGTCAGCATGAATTTTTTTTACATGCATCGTCCCAAATGTGTTTGATAGAAGCTGAAGATCAAACCTGTTTCTGGACTGGCTACTACTGAAGAGGGAATACAGTATGAGGGATGCACTGGGAGCTGAGATATTGAACAAATTCATCGTCGCCTCTGGTTTTCATCTATGCAGGAATAAATCCATGAAAATTCTGTGTGAACATATTTTTATGTGAGCTTACTCGTGCCTAGTTAGGAGTCCGTTTGTGCCAGTGGAACACAGTGTGCTCTACTTTGTAGCGATGCTGCGTGTTTGTACTGTAGGCTTCATGTGGCACAGATAAAACGCAAAACACATCCTACTTGGTCCAGAAAGAATTAAACATCAGTGGGAAATGTGCAAAGGCTCCGAGCCACGCCAACTGAGCCGCCTCTATCCTTTAATTAAAAGAAAATTGCCGCCAGCATCAGTGCCAAACAGAATCATTGCAGATGAATGTCCAATCAGGGAAACATGTTATGTGATTAATTATATGTGAAGATAGAAGCTGAGTGAGAGGAGGCAGTTCTTCCTTTTACAACTGTGTTTAAAGTTGTTCTGTGTCTTGTCTTTAATGTGTACTGCCTGTGACCTGAATGTTAAAATGTTTATGTTTAGGTCTCACCAATGAGCATTACCAGGATGACACTCGACTCTTTGGAGGTACTCACCCTCTTGCATTTAGAGTAGCTGCTTTCATTTACCTTCACATTAGACACTGCAGGGCAATGCAAAAATAGACACTGCTGCTAAATTAAACCTATGTAAAACCGCTCATATATACATATTCTATATTTTAAAAAAAAGAATATTCTCCACATACTCTATAGTCATAATTTCAAATTGTATAATAACATAGTTTCTGGTTTCCGGATCCTTTTTGAGTAGATTTCAAGTAAAGTTCATCACTAACTATAAAAGAAGTACATATCTTTCAGCTAATAATAAACGTGATAAATACAGTAGATCTTATACACTATCAGCACTATCATTGCTCATAGCCCTAAGTTAATTTTCTTAGAAAACTAGAATATAGCAGCAAAGGAAACAGATTTTTTATGGAACAATGTAATCTCATTTACTGGCTATTTCAAAAGGGGGGACAGCTTACAGGTTATTGCTGAACACGCTTTTTTAAGTTGCTCTATATCTAAGGGTATTAATGGAAAGTTAAGTGGAAGGAAATGGTGTGTTAAAAGGATGTAGAAACAACAGGAATATAGAAACAACAGCCTTCAGAGGACTGGGCAGCAGTGTCTATGGAAGAGTTTCCACTGTGTTTAATCAAGTCAAAAGGCAGAACAACTACCGGTACCTAGAAGAAAACTTGGAGAGCACCTTTTGCTTTCCTCTGCTGACAAGTTGGATGGAAGATGGAGATTGCCAACAGTACCAGTACTTGGTTTTATCACCATAAAATTGTGCTCGATAGGTGTGAAAATCATCAGGACAGTGGAATATTAAAGAAAAAGGGACTCATCAAAGGTTGTTGTTGCAGCATGCTGAGCAGAAATAGTTTTTATTAGCCTTAATCCACAATTATGATCAAATGTAATACAACACTATGTTGCATAAATAAGTACAATTTGAATTTAACTTTTAAACTAAATTACTTGAAAATGTATTAACACTTCATTCTCACACAAATCAATGCAGATGCTCACTGAACAAATCAGAATTCGATAATGACTCCTTCAAGTAATTTTAAATAAAACTCATACCTCATTTGTATCAGCATTTAACTCGTATTCTTTTGCATCAGACTTTTTCTCTCTAAATAAGCTGAATATAGTATACTGTACTAGATCGAAGTTGACTTTCAGGTAGAGGGGCTTGCTGTTAGATGAGATTCTCAAAGTGAAATCTATAACTCATCAGAAAGCAGTGTTGTTAAACCTGCAAGACAGAATTATAATCAAAGACAAACTTCTTTGGAAAGATGATGTCTTTTTAGGTGCTAAAAAGCCCTGTAGCCTTAGTCATAAAAAAAATCCTTGGAAACCTCAAAAGCCTTTCCTACAATTGTCTGACAGGTCACACTGAGCAGACAGTTGCAAACAACGAGTTCAGACGATTAGCCAACCGGACAAACTTTGTGAAGGAGAAATGGTTTCTGCAGTGCTTCTCTCGGTTCCCTGTGAAACATTGGATGACCTAAAAAGAAGATTTCTCAACCAAATCAAACAAAAAGGGGAAATTCTTTCGTTTTGAATATTTGACACCATCCCTGCTATGAAAAGTGGAGTATTTTTTCTCAGCAATGGCATATGAGATCAAAATTCAGAAGAAATGCAGAAAACTTTGGCAAACTCCTTAACAGCCCAGAAAAATACAGACCTAGTTCAAATATGGATTTATAAATATTACAAGTATCTCTTGAGAGTCCTCAAATTTTTATGGCCTTATACTATGCATCTAATGTGCCTGCGTGTAAACATTTCTGCCAAGAGCAGTGAAATAATTTTATAGAGAAAGATTTTGTGAGATCAAGTTAAATATGTGCTGCTTAGAGTCTTTAACCAGTTATTAACTGAAAGGCGCAGATACTGTACTTCTCTAAAACAATGTTTACCGTTACCATTGGCATTAGTGCTATATTGATTACAGGTTTATGGATTATATATTTAAGATAAATATTTTCAAGATGCAATATGCACTGAATATGCATCAAATAACGCATATTCCTTCTTGTCTTTGTGGTGGTTGCATTTAAAATGGGTCTGCAAGGGTGTAACACATGATATAGCTTTTTCTAGCTTTGAACGTCTCACCTTGACATGTATAATTATATGTTATGTTGCTGCGGCAACATCTGCCTGCTCCGACTGTGAGGCTTTTCTAAAGAGAGCATCAAGCGTATTCAAGGTTTCATTTCAGGTAGTGCTTTAGAGTGTTGATGTTGAAGGAGGGGCGTTTTTGTTGGTTAGGTTCCTCTCAGTCTATGATTATGGACTTCAGCTTATATCCTTTTTTTAGCCGTTAAATAAAGAGTTGATTTAGCTGGAACTTTTGTGTCTTCACTTCTGTTCCAGTTGATAATTTAAATTTGAAGAAAATTGGATGTTCAAACACAGATCTGACACCAAACAATTCCTAAAAGCTAGTTTTATGATGAATGGATTAAATTTTCATTAGGTTTTTCATTTTTGCAAGCATCCTGTTAAAATTTGTATTCCTACCTATGCCTAAACATTTGTCTGTTCCAGAAAACCAACCAGTTAAGATGATCTCTACCTATTTCATCAAGAAGACCGGACAAATTGTGAAAATGGTGCAGAATAGCTTTGGAAAATATATGATGTACTGTAGTTGCAAAGGGTCATTAACCAAATATAAATGTCGATGAATTAATAAATGTGAGACAATCAGTATAATTCAGGCACTATTATGAAAAATTCTACAAAGTTGAACCCTTGAAACAAAATCTTGTCTTTGACAGGTAAATTAATTTCTGACAGAAGAAAGATTTCAAAACCATAATTAAAAGCCTGAGGTTATTATGAAATCCATGTTGTAAAAATGTATCCTGTGAGTCTCAGAGAAGTAACAGCCTCTCTGTAGGAAAATCTACACATTAAAACCAGCTGCAAGGCAAAAAAGTCACCTGTCATTGTCTTGTCTTTGTGTATGTTAACCCATCATTAAGTTTTGTGTTTGTGGACTCATTAATCAGATGCATACTCAAAGCACCTTTTTTTAATCTTTGAAATTCCTGTTTTTCACTTGTCTTTCCTTTTTGTTTCATGCAGCATACATAGAGGATGTTGCACGGTGCGTAGACCAGAGCAAGCGCCTCATTATAGTCATGACGCCCAATTATGTGGTGCGGCGAGGCTGGAGCATCTTCGAGCTGGAGACCCGACTGCGAAACATGCTGGTGAGCGGCGAGATCAAGGTTATCCTGATCGAGTGCGCTGAGCTGAGAGGTATCATGAACTACCAGGAGGTGGAAGCGCTTAAACACACCATCAAAGCCCTCACTGTCATCAAATGGAGAGGCCCCAAAAGCAACAAGCTCAACTCGAAATTCTGGAAGCAATTGCAATATGAGATGCCCTTTAGGCGCACAGAGCCTATGCTAACGCACGAGCCGGCACTGGATGTCAGCGAGCAGGGCCCCTTCGGAGAGCTGCAGACCGTCTCAGCCATCTCCATGGCAGCAGCCACTTCCACTGCAATGGCCACCGCCCATCCAGAGCTGCGCTCTTCGTTCCACAACACCTACCACACCACCATGAGGCAGAAACACTACTACCGCAGCTACGAATATGACATACCCCCTGGGGGGACCCTGCCACCACTCTCGTCTCTGGGAAACCAGCACACCTACTGCAACATCCCACTAACGCTGCTCAACGGACAGAGGCCTCCAGGGAAGAGCCGGGAGCACAGCCTGGAGGAGGCTCACGCCAACAACGCCATGCTGCCCCTGCTGCCAAGAGAAACCAGCATCTCTAGTGTCATATGGTAGTAATAAGGACACTCAGAGTTGGCTTCAGGAAGAACAGTCAGGGTCAGGTCAGAAATGACGAGAACCAAAAGTAGAAGTTTAAAGAACAAAGCGGATCTATTCAGGTCCATTCATCCCCATTAACAGAGAAGACAGGTGATTCCTCCTGTCTTTCAAGATGACCTAGTCTCTTCTAAGGAGTGATTTTATCTTCTATTTGGAACTAGAGGAAAAACAGTTTTGTTTTGTTTTTTTCTAGACTGACAAATAAAGTGCTGGAACTCGGAGGACACATGATTCCAACATCCTCACTAAAAGAAAATGTGCATACATACAAACAAAAGGAAAACAGGGTCTGTACATATATTTGCATTTTATTAGTAGCATCAGTGTTTTTCTGTTTCGTTCTTCAATGCGTTTAATTCACTCATATCTGTTGCCTTCTCTACTGTAGGACTTTGCTTTAAACTTGTTACATAAAGTTGTATATTTTTCATTCTTTAAAGTTTTATTTTATCTAACTCCACTGAAAAGCCAGTATGTCATGTACTTGCGCTGTTTTGTCCTTTTGTTTTTATTGTTTTGTAATTTTTATTTTAAATCATTCTGTAGTTTAAGCTAACTTTTTTTTTTTTTTATGAAAAAACTTTTTGAATGACCTGGACATTTTCAGGTGATGTGAAGAGCTGAAACTTGTTTTTGTTAACCTTGTAAAAGGCGTATCTGTTTTAAAAAGAAACTCCTTTCAGAAAAAAAAAAATAATAGAATATGCAAAAAGACTGAGAAGCTGGCGAAAAACATCCAGCCATGTGGGATGCAAACGCGCCGCTCCCATCCAATCAGACTGACAGACTGGCAGATCTCTCTCTGGAGCTCTTGTGTTTTTGTTTTGTTTTTTATTGAAACCAACAGCCTGGCTGTTTTAGAGTGATAGTTAAATGCCTCACCTTAAAAAAGAAAATCTGTAGATTATTTTAAAAAAAGAATTCTATTTTTATAAGAGAAAACAGTTTGCTTGAGAGGTCATGATTATTTGCATTTCATCTTCCATAGAAAGGGGATACGTGTCTAAGCGTTCTGCTGGTTCTGTACTCCTGTAAACGTGGTTCCTGGTTTGTTGAGAGACTAAGCTGGTTTTTGAATCCCACTTAACAAAGAATCCTCTATTACTCCAGGTTCAAAAGAAGACAAAACCTTTTCAATGTTTTCATTTTTGATGTATCATTTTATTGCCACCTCAATGATTCTGATTTATTTGGTTTATAGAGATAGCTCACGTTTTAATGAGAGAAAAGAAAACAGGTGTGTTTTGAAAGACTTTTTAAATATATTTGAAGGTGTGATTTTTAAGTATGCATAGCAAATAGATATGTATTCTATATATAATATAGATATTTATATAAATATATAAACACAATTTTCACTTGGAAAGAAATGTCTATCTTTATAGAAACACAATCATTATCAGTTGCCCCTACTTTCTCACTGCACATTAAAAGCATTGATTTCCTTTGAATGGTTTCTTTTTGTGTTGAGCTTTACTAATCTTTGTTGATAATCCATAAAACCATTAACACTTCAGTATTAACGGTTTTATGTCTACTTGTATCTACTTTGACCATACTGTAACAGCAAGAGAACCAAGTAAGACTGAAGGAAATGCAGCACATCCGTCGTTTCATACATTGACTTTCAGCTGGTTAACCTACCCAACACAATCTGCAAATCTAAAAGATTATATGCATACACTTTTTCCCTACAGCTTTACTCTGTAAAGACAAGAAAAACAACTGCTTGGCTCTTCACTTTCAGAGAATATATATTTCTAAGCTTTGATATTTTGTAAGTAAGAAAGAGATTAATGATAGGTCAGGATGTTATTATTAAAGGTATAGCACAGGATTTTATGCAAACTTTTGAAACGATGCACCCTCTCCAATAAAAAAAAATGTACATGCACAACCCTGTACTATTAAACCCATGCGAGAGCATGCTGAGTGCATTTCTCCTCGTGCACGCTCTGTTTAAAGTTGCTGTTTGCATTGCTCATACAAGCTTACTTTCCAAAAGAAGATTTGCAATTTTTCCACTGTTTCAGACTCACCACTGGTAAGTGAAAATGGAGACAAGCACGAGCCTTAAATATCACCAGAATGATTAACATTTACAAGGACCACTTATTTTGATGATCCACCCGGAAAAACAACATCCTACACTATACCTTTAAGTATTTCAAAAGAAACAGCCTTATGGCTTTTCTCTACTTGGAGTTAAAACATTGCATTTAAGCTAACTAGTCTGCATGGTTTTATATTTTACTAAAAAAAAGTAAGAAATGAGCATACAAATAAGATATATTTAAAAGCAAGTGATAAAGCTTTATGTCTGTCAGCTTACATGTTGATAGAACAATGCCACCGTTTTTTTTTTATCTAGTTAACCTCTTGTTAAAGCAGCATTTGAAACATCTATAAATGTCAAATAACAGGGAACACCTCAGCACACTTAATATCATCAGTGAGATATAACTAGAGTTTTATTTTACAGTTTGACTTGATTAGTTATTTTACTGGCAATAAACCCTGAACTGGACACCCCTAAAGTGGAACAGAGGTGAATTCTTCCTCTTTGAATGAGATTTGGGTCTGCCTTAGTTGCAGGTCACCCTTATTGTGATGGCTGACCGGGTTTCCTGACAGGTTTGAATCCTCATTTTCCTCACCTATGCCTTTATGCTCCTTGACAGAGCAAAAAATAATCCCTGTTATATAAAGACAATGTTGATGGAGGTCATGATGGGAATTTAAAATATGATATAAATGGTATATTTATAGGCCTCCAACCTAGAGAAAAGATAAAGAAGTAAAAGCCAAGGTCCTCGGGTATATGCAGTAGAAATGGTCTTTATATAAAAGACAAGATTACATATGAAAAAATACATGATTAATGATCATAAATTACAAAGAACAGTCACACAAAACAGTTAATTAGAAGCCCTGTATATGAGGGAGATCAGATGACACTTTCTGACAATCAGGACAGAGAGTCCAATTCACTGCTCCCTCTGTTAAATGTTTTCCTTCTGCAATAAATTCGAAACTAATTGAGTTTATAGGTATCAATACTGTGCATCAGTGTATGGATGTGTGTGTTTGATAGTGTGAAAGGGTGACTCAAACTGTAAAAGGCCTTTAAATGGTGGGCAATACTAGAAAAATGGTAAATAAGTTCAATGAATTTACCCTAACTAGGACAAAATTGAATTTCAATATCGAAGAATAAAAAAAAATCAGAGACACTTGAAAGGATGTGTTAAATGGACAAAGCAGGACAGAAACTGCAGCAGGGACATTTTCAATTACCTATTACAAAAGACCCTTATTGAGGCAAGAAAAGAGGCATGATAATTAGAGTAATTTGCAACAATTATGGAAGAGCCACTCTAAATGTTTGCATTTTGGTTTTTGGTTGGGAAAAATTATATTTTAAAGGGAAAAAAAATCTTCAGAAAGTATAAAACATAAATTCATAAAAAATCTGCCATATCCTTGGTCTTCAAAGCTGATAAATGCTTTTCAACCACATTTTGTCCCTGCAAAAAAAGGGCAGTTGGACCAATGTCCCTCACAAATGGGAAGGGCTCCACTACATATTTGGGGCTTTGCTGTCTAGAACAACAGATCATGATTGTCAAAAGGAAATGGGTTTGACCAGAAATACTTTAAAGAATTTTAGCACCTATCACACTCGCTAGAAAAAATAAGCCATCTCATTTCCCCCAAAAGATGTTCTATGTGGGAGAGGTTTATAAAAATCCTTTAGGAACACCTTTATCCCCGTTGGTTGTTTTGTCTTGTTTTTCTGCTCAGAAAATAAGATTAAACTGTATAGTTGAAACATCTCAAAGGTAGAGAATAGATCACAAACTATCAGAATACTGCCCGAATTTTTACTTTTAAATCATTATTTCTTCCATAATTGGTCATCTGTCACTAAATAGATTTCCAGGTAGAATATTTGCATACAATACTTGTAAATCTCTAGTTAGGGTGCTGTTTTTTAAGTTTCTGTTGTAACTCCATGGAAGAAAATTATTATTATCGAACAAATAAACCTTTTGACCTCAAAGTTGGAGAATTTTGTACCACAATTTCTATTCTACATTATTTAGCTTTCAGCTGTTTGTTCTTGTTGTCTTTTTTCTGCTATTGTTTTTAAAAATCAATTGCTCTGTAACAAAAGCTATAACATCCAAACATCAACAAATCTTATGGTAAAAAAAAACAACAAAAAAAAAAACATGTTTAATTTGAATCATCATGGTGGTTAGAAGCTTACAGCTGATGAATAAGTGCTGCTTAACAGTGCCATCTCCTGGGAGTAAACACTTACTACAAGAAGCATTTGTATCTGTAAGCTGAAAAAGACATTAAAGACTGTGAACAGATTTACTGATGTCTACCAACCCCTGGAGAAAACAGAAAGAAAGAAAGAAATCTGGGTCAGAGGAAAACAAGGAGAAGGACTACATATAAGACATGGACAAGAATACTGATTTAGAGGTAGAGTAGGTCAGGTAAGGCAAACAGGCTTTGGACTATGCAGATACAAAAACAAATCTGACATAAAAATGCAAAAATATTAAATTAAACGTTTTTTTTTCTTTAGATATACATTGTCTGAACATGTAAATGTTGACCGGGTGGTGACTGCTCCCAGTTTGTCGCTTCCAGCCAGACATCTGGAGCTTTATTAGCCGTCACAGGATTAATAGACTCTTTATTACTCGGTGCAATTAAGGACTTAATTGCTGATAAAATAAGGCCCATTGAGAAGGAACATGCTAGGAAAATAGATATGAACAAGAATATAATCAAAGCAAAGCAGACAGCAGCATATGTGTAAGTGAGTGTGAGTTTTTGTGCGTGAGTGTGTTCCAAGTTTGAGCTTCTCCTTTCTTCTTCTGTTACTGGATACTGCAACGCAATGTTGAACCACCAGGAGGTATGTGAGAGTTATCAGCAGAGGCTTCACATCAACTTCAAACAGAACTTAAATCCCTGTTTATCACTAACATCACCTTCATTCCTTTCAAGGTTGAATTCAGTTTTTATTGAACATGCTTCTCTGTGAGAGTGAAAAGCGACAAAAACCTGCTGCTCTGAAGGATGATTGGAAACCTAGTCAGCGTTTCTAAACGCCTGTTAGGGAAAGAACAGATGCAAAGACAAAATGTAACACTTGCAGGTCATTCTTTGATATTTTCTCATTTGTGTTTTTTTAAACACATCTATATTCCAAAACATTGACAGTTGATGTGGGGAATAAGAGTAAAAACCTTGAATGGTCTATAGTGGGGGTTCATGTGTAAAGTTTCAAAAACATCATGGATCTCTGTCATAACTCAAAATGAAAAACATCTGAGGTGTACCATTGTTCTTTTATACTAAATATCAGAGATTAGTTTAAACAACATTCCCTAAATATATTAAATACAGGCAATGCTGTTAGCCGCAGTAGATGTGGTGGAAAAAACATGATAATGATCAATTATTTAACAGTTTTTGTCTTCGAAAAGACAAATCTCTTTTACAAATCAACTTCAACACCAGAAAATGTGCATTATTTGGGAAATGTGATGAAGAAAATATCCACTGATGCATAAGTGTGTACACCTTCAAACGAACATGCTTTTCTTTTTGTTTCTTTTTTATTTCCTATCTGTCATCTACAACATTGAATCTGATCAACCCGTCACGAAACCTCAACTGATGGCCTTTAGCTAAAGGCGTAATTTGGTAAACATACATAATCTGATCTCATTGTGTTTTTAGACCATTCCCAAGCTGCTTTATTTATGTTCAAAATGTGGTAGGAGGGATCATCACTTGTTAATTTCTACCCTAGTGCCTGAAAATTAAAACATCCCTTGTTTCATCGTATTGATGGACCAGTTCTTAGCAAATTCTTTTTTGCATGTTATAATTGTTTTATTGAGAAGTTCCAAGTCCCAGAATATTGCTTTATACACATACATGTAAAAAATTTCAGCAAAACTAAACCTACATTAACACAGTACAGCAGACGCTCCAGTTTTGAACTTGCTAACCCCTCTATTGCTGCTACAGAGTCGACACTGATGAAAGTGCTTTCTCTCTTGAGGTTGACCTCGGGAGAAGGGGCCATTTTATGGTCTGTTGGTTCTCTGACCTAAATAGAAAATCTTTAACTTCATGTCGACCACAGAAGGTGCATAACATCTGTTGTTTTTTTGCTCTGTCTATTTCTCACTTGTCTCTCTTTGTATAGTTACTGTGGCAGAGGGACCCTTCATTTACACTCAAAAGTATGACATAAGGAGTCTGTGCTTAGAGTTTCCTTATTCTTCATTTCAGTGCTTTAAGATTAACCCAATTAAATAACAAAATTGACATGACAAATGAAGAAGGTTCTATTTGAATTTAATAAGATCTGACTTTACCATTTGTTAGAGCCAATAACACTGATGACCTATAAACTTACCTGCTCAGTGTTTCATATAGTAAAACAAACATCTGAAGCCAGAAAATTTAAGAGAAATTTGAAGTGACTTCTAAAAATCAAGATCTTTAATAACTTTAATATATTTTTTAGGCTGAACTTGCCTATATACTTTGCCTCCAACACACCTGAATGTCACCACTATGGGACAATAAATTATATTTCTATTCTATTTTAATTTTCCAAAGGTATCTTGTCATTAGCTTGAGGTATAGTATGATCCTTTGAGAAAATCTCTATGGTATTCCAATAACATACCATATTTTCTCTCTCATTTAAACAACAAGCAAAAACCAAACCTAGTTTTCCCTAAAATACATTCTAAAAAATGTAGGATTGTTCACTTAAAAACGTATAATTTGACATATGTATGTACATATGTTAACTTTTTTGTGGGGGAAAAAAAAAAAAAAAGTGATGCGACAATAAAACTAAAAACCAAACATTACAAAGCAAAGGGACCAAAAACTTTACATTTCTAAATTGGTTTGGGGAGAATGTCTCCTTTTTTTTGTAATCTAAAATTTTGGAAACCTTTTTAAGTCGTGATGGTCTATGTTTACAATCTCTATGACAACCTTCAGTCTGGTCTTTGAGTTATTTTTAGAGTAAAAATGTTTTACTCTCCATCAAAGTAAAATGTGTCTGGACGGCCAGGACTGGTTGTGCTGACAGTTGTTTTAAATGCATTTCTCTTCTAGAATATTTTCCAGTGGGATTGAGGATTATGACTGGACTGGTGCCTTTGTTTATTGATTATTGGCCAACATATAAAAACATCTCAAATTTACAAGTTAGGAACTTGTGATTTCATATCAATATTATTGCTCCTTTATATGTTTTTTTCCTGCAAAGAATATATATTTCATTGTGAAGTTTTGCAAAGGGCCTACCTAAACAACAGGTTATTCTGTTATGACAAACAAACAATATCTAAGGAAAACAAGTCATTGTGGATTAATGATGTGAAGTTCATAGACTAGGGCTGCAAGGTGGTGCAATGTTTTCTTGCAGCAAGAAGCTTCCGGGTGCGATTCCCGGCCTTGGGTCTTTCTGCATGGAGTATGCATGTTCTCCCCATGCATGTGTGGGTTTCTCCGAGCTTCCTTCCACAGTCCAAAAACATGACTGTTAAGTTAATTGGCTTCTTTAAATTGTTAAAAATCAAGGCATCAAAGCTTCTGTAACAGGAGTGCTGAAGAAAGATGCAGGCTGTAATTTGCTTTTTAATGAATCCTATTGTGCAAATAATGTATACGCTTTAAAGGGAACTCCACCTATTCTGTGCTGATATTAATCCAATGTTAACCCTGTAATCTACAAATGTATGTTTGTTTAAGTTCAAGGTTTGATAGAAACTTTTTTAAATAACTGTTTTTTTAATTCAAGGAGAGAGGAGAATCTGGCAGAAAATAATGGATTCCAGTCATCTACTCATTAAACATCCATCCATCTTGTACCATTAGGGTTGTGGTTGGGCTGGTGCCTTCGTCTGTATTTACTTTAACTTTGTGTGGAATTTATCTGTTCTGTTTTTTTGTTTTTTATTTCCAACCAAATTCTCATACTGTCACATTTTATCCAGCAGTCAAAATCAGTGTGTGTGATGTTGTACAATGTTGTACAATGTCGCTCTCTGGTGGCCTAATATGACATTGCATCCATCATGCTCTTGTCCAATAAAGAACTTGGATTATCGGTCGTTTATTGTGACAGTGACATGCCTTGTTCAATCAGTGCTGTGACCTGAAGATGACATGAAACATTATGACTCAGATTGTTCAGTGATTGACAATCATGGGATGTTACCTCCTGATGGAAGATAAGAAACTCACACGCACATTGAAATGGGATTTTTATTTTTATTTTAGAAAAATAGTCTTTTATAAAAACAAATAAGTTATGAATTGTAGCAGCTGCTTTAAGTTTCCTCTGTAATAACATCTCTTCCAACCCACATTATTCTTACAGGCACACACGCACACTTTCTGGCTTTTTTGGGTCAGTTTTCTCAGAGTCCTTCAACAGTTATGTATTGTACCAAGTCTATCAGTTTCACCTCCAATACAAAACAAGTTCAGAGCATTTTTTTTTTTTCTTTTTGTTAGTTTTTTTTCCTTGCTCCAGGTGACCTACTTTCCGTAGAACATTTCCATGAGCACCTCTTCGATGTTCACTGCCCCGATCACCGGTCTAAAGAAGAGCTGTGCGACCACCAGCGGGCTGATGGCCCTCAGCATTGACAGGGCGACCAGCAGCTTGGCAAAGCGCGTGGTGTCCTCGCGGTGGATCAGCCGGACGTGCTCGTTTAGTGCCTGATGCGCTTCCCGACGCAACCCCTGGATGTAGTGAACGCAGCGAAGACCTTCCAAATCTGAAAGTATAAAAAGTTTAAGTCATTAACACAGATCCTCGCATATAGACAATGTATTATTGGTAATTAATATTTTTTTTAGTATCCGAGTATATTCCAAAATCATATTTTACGCATACTTGTGAAAGGTGAGATTTACCTGGATTAAAGAGCACAGCTCCCTTCAGGTACGCGTACTCCTTAGTGCTGATATCCACACTCCAGCATTTCTTCAGAAAGGCTTTGATCGCTTCAATGTCCACCACGGACACCCCGACCGCAGCCCTGTTCTGCCCGGACAGCACCTCGCTCTGCCGCTCCGACGCGCCGGTCAGGATGCGCTGCAGCATGCTGGGCTCCACCGTCTCCGTCGTCTCAAAGTCCACCCGGTCCTGCGCCAGCCCCAGGACCAGCAGCGGTGCCCAGCCGCTCCGGATCAGCATCAGCTGCTCATCGTCCGGCAACTCGCGGAAGCAGGGGACGTTTTTCACGAAGTGCAGCGTCTTCACCAGCACGGCCGACGCAGCTTTGCACGTCACCTGCGGTGTTCGCAGGACGCCGCGGCGGCGCGTCGAGCCGCAGGAGCAGGACTGCTGCCGGAGCTCCTGCAGCGAGCCCGACAGGGAGGAGGAGCCCTTCAGGAGCAGATGCTGCAGGGTTTGATGCTGCTGCTGATGATGATGGTGGTGTTGTGGCTCCTCGGCGGTCACAAGGCTATCGCTCTTCAAAATGCTGTAGAGAATGCTGTTGTTATTTCGGGCGCTGGCACTCCGACAGCGACAGCCCTCCAGGGTGGCCATGACCGCTGGCCGATCTAGATGGGCTGCCTGTTTGAAGGGCCGGGGGTCAGTGACTGAGGTAACTGCTTCCTCACCCCCTGATAGCCCCGAGTGAAGGGCAGGCTGTTTATATTAGCTCCTGTCTGTGCCCGCAGTTTGAGAGATTGTTCAGGGTTACTGCATATTCTACCTCTACCAGCTCATGCACCTCCTCTTTCTCCACCTCCTATTTTCCCTCTCTTTCTCCAGCAGTCTACAGCTTTCAGAGCGGCAGACGGCAGA